ATGTACCTTTTTTTACTAACTGCGAGGAACCCATCATGATTCAGTTTCCTTTCCGCTGACAGGTAAATCTTGGCCATTGATGTCACATAGCAACGCTTTTGTAATCCAGAGTTGTCATCCCACGAGCGCTTGCCCGTTTTGATGGTACTTTAGCTTTGCTAATTTCCTTGGATGTACTTAAACATATTTTTAATCAATATATTGAAGACGTTAAGAGAAATTGATATAAAAATATGAAGTATGTGAAATAATACAGCGGGAATTTCTGGAAATACTTTTAAGGATTCTTAAAACGAAGGTGGCTGAAAAAAAAGAAAAGCGCTTTTCCGGTGCCGACTGCTAGCCACGGTGGACGCCATAGTTAAAAAAAAAATTCCAATTAGCCTGATTAATATTTAATATTGACTAAATATTTTTGGGTGAAAATTGGCATATGCTTCTGATTAGAAACTTGCTGAGCGTCATCAAAACCCCCCCCCCCCCCCCCAAATTATTTAATTTTAGGACAGCCTGAAGCATGCAAGAAGAGGGGGGGTGTGCTGAGGTTGCCACTTGTGCGGCAGGCGCAAGGCCGGCGAAGCGCGAAGGCGATGATATTCTTATCGCTCACGTTTTCACATTGCCCGCCTTGTGCCTGTTGCGGTAGTGGTAACTTTAGCGCATTCTCGCGCTTTCTACGCGCATGAAGGCGTTTTGAAATTGATTGATTTAGGCGATTTTAATGACACTATGCAAACTTCTAATATGAACCATATGTCTATTTTCAACAATTAAACATTTCATTGGTCACCTGTAATCAGTTATCTCGCAGATCGGTATGTTTCATGCAATTGCTGACGTCCGCCGTGATTCTCAATTCGGACATGGCAACCTTTGAGCGGGGGAACAAACATTCGGCAGAGACACTTAAGACTGCTTACGTGGAGGAGTGCGAAAGCATTCCTTCACGTAGCTTATTCCTAGAAGCAACGCGCTACTTGTCCCTTTTTCACACGGCGCTCCGTCGATGAAATCATGCTCCCCCACTTCGCGGGCGCGGTGAACACTCCAGGCTATCTCCACGGTTGCGTGACGATTCATCCGCTTTGCTGTGCTTTTCTTTGTGTTTTATTTCTGAGCCGCGTCCGCTTTGACGTTGAGCGCCCCGCCGACTTTCGTAACGAAGCATCTGCGTTGCTGTGCTTTTGGCCAATGGAATTGAGGTGCCATTTCGCTCAGTCGATGGGGATTTAGGTGCCGTTTTTTGCTACTACAGACAACGGCTACAGACAACGGCTACAGAAAACGCCGGTTTCACTCCATGGGGCAGTTAAAGCCTTCGCATTAAAAGCCATGGACAGACGGTTCAGATCTTCGTGTCTTCCGCCCCTTTTTTGCCCCGACGCTCCAATTTTTTCAGGTTAGTCGTTACCTACCCGGCTGCCTACTTGTATTAGCTCTCAACTTGGGTTGTCTTTGCAACACCCCAGTTTTAAGGATGCCTGAAATTCTCAGTGTTGGACGAAATACTCGATAAATGTATTCAAGTTAAGTTACTAAATACCTGCTTCATAACGTATTTAAAACCCTGCTCAAGTTACTTTCACCGTAAACTATCTTGAGTAGAGTACAGATACTTAAAAAATGTAATTAAAGTACTTTTGAAGATACTTCCGCATTGCTTAATTTGTATCGACGTCAATGACACTCACAATTATAGGTTCGCAAGTCTGGGTTACCTGAATAGTTTACTAACACGCAACAAAAAACGGGGGAAAAACGCATCGTAGGGCTGTTTTATGCAGTACAACTATAAGGAGCAGGATATTGTCACGGATGACAAATGATGAGGCGGTGAATAACTGAAAAACTAAACGGTTATTGGGGCGAACTTGCGTCCAAAACAAAATACAGAAAGGCTAGCGCCGCAGGCGTCGATGTCGGAGAAAAAGCAGGATTGAGCGGTAGGGTGAGACTGACTCCGGACCGCTTTGCAGAGCACCTTTTGTACCCGCGTGGGTTTCTGGAATATTCGGCGTAGAACGTTCAGCGCGTAGAACATTCCTAACTCGATCAGACGACAAGGTTCTCGAACTTACGAGAACGTCAGGTTCAAAGAATAAATAAAAGAGGAATCCCCTCCTTAGCATCGAACCCGGAGCCTAGGCGCGACTGCCAAGCGCGGTAACCATTCGGCACGCAGTTGCCCGTCAACGCGCGTGGCAATATCACTCTTACATGTTACAAAACATTTCTTCAACTACAATAAAGAGGTCCCTTTAGCTATTGGGGAGGAGATCAGACCATGGCGCTTCAAGCAGTAAACTCTAGGACTACTAAACAGACCGGTTATAACGAAGTCTACGGGAATCGAAAATCACTTCGCTATATCCGCTATTCCGTTATTACCTACTTCGGTTATAACGAAGAGCAAAAGGGAATGGGAAATCGGGATCGCTTCGCTGTAGCCGCTATTTCGTTATAACCGACTTCGTTCTAACCGGTCTCTGCTACACGGATGGGGACAACGAATAACAATGACTCAGCGCTCGGCTGACTTAACCGAACACGGAGTCAGCGTTCGGCTGGGGTTCGTGTTCTCCGGAGAGGGGGAGGAGGGAATCTTTCGTTACCACTCTGGCCTGCATGAACAATGCAGCATGCATGGTTCCCAGCTCAGCACAAAAGCCCAGGTAAGTCAAGCTCGCATACTCTGACGACTGCTTTCGGGAGAGATCCGGCGCTCAACGTCACTTCGCTAATTGTTAGTATTGTTACATTACACTGTGCACCACGATCTATTAAAAAGGATGACATTAACATGCTCACAAGGCTGTGGGCATGTGCACAGGCCTTTTGTTGGGTAAACATCGAGGTATGGGGGCAACAAACGGGTAAGAGGGCCTCGCCAATAGTGACATCGCTGAATATCACTACTGAGGCGCACCTGAGACGCATCGTTTAACTACAATTCATAACACCCTGATAAGGAGCTCACTATCAGCCAACTTGGGATAAGGATATGAGTAAATGGATAACAAAGATAACCCACATAATAGCCATGGCAGTGGTCTCACCTTCTTCAATAAGATTGCGTTCAGAAAGGCACTCAACGTTGAGGGACGCCTTGTTTGGATTTTGAGGATCATCCAGCTCGTAGTTCGTTTCCTGACCGGTTCTCTGCTTATCAATGTTCGCATACCGGCAGTGTTCGCGACAGCAATAAAAAAGACTGACGAAAAAAAGAAAAGAAACAATAAAAAAACCTCGACGTTCTGCCTTAGCAAAGTCAAATCTACAAAAAAAAAGTTTTTGTGTGTGTTTCCTTTTTTTTCTACCTGTTAATTTCTTCACACCTAAGTTTTCATTGTTGTCGTAGGTCGTTTCCCGGTTTGCGTTGCGCCTCAGCGTGGCAATCTTCACTTCCATAAACCACACTTTCTGTTTGATAATATTTTGGGGGACACTCTAGGAGACAAAGAGCGTCTTTGGGAAGGCGAAGGAAAAACCCTCATTCTACGAACTTTGGGCTGAAATATGAGTCACCATCGGGAAAAAAGCGACGTTTTCACGAGCTCTATCGAAGTCACCGTTCTTAACTGGAACTAGCAACAGGATTTGGTTGCTTGAAAGAATGTTCACGGTTGCTCGTGCCACTCCCACGCCACTTCATACTAAAAAGCAAAAAAAACAAAAAACAAATGGCGGAATGTCAAAAATGTTTTTGGGATAATTTGTACAAGATATTTAGAAATGTAATTAAAATAGAGAATCGAATACTCTCGATCCAAGGTATTTGGAAGATACCAAGATACTTCAAAAAATATTTGGAGTACAGTATATTAAGTAGAGTATTTGAGAAAGGCACAAGTCTGGAAATTCTTCACAGAAATACCCACTATACGAAAATACTTATTCGAATGCCTTTTACGTATCTGCGGTCCTCACCCGTTCTTGTGTAAAAATGACTAATCTGTAATTAGAAGAGAAGACCAGACGATACGGAAAAGAATCCAAGATGGATTTTTAGTTAAACTAGAAAAGTCGACAGTTGCCTCATTGGAAAGTGCTAGGGGTCTGTTTCTCTTTGAATATAAAGGGACCCTAATCCTTTCTAGAAAATATCTGGCATATTTGAAAACCAAAGATAGAAGTTTGCAGCACTCTGATTATCAATGACCAAAATTTTAAAAGTTTGAAATAGATCTCTTGGGAGGCGGTGCATATTCGAGACAAATGGCTGAATGTCCTCTTTTGAAAAGGCTGTAAATAAACCGATAGCAAGTAGCGTGACATTTTACCATTCGGGTGGTGACGTTTGTTACAGATTCATGGTCATTCATTGTAACCAATAACTCCCAAACGTTATATGATGTATCAACCGAAACATTCCTTCACACCATACTTTTTATGCAATAATTCCTTCAAAGCTGGTATAGCAACTTTTTTGCTTTAGTACCTATGGGTCCTTAACTTGTGGGGAAGCTTTCTTGCTGCACGAACAACCAAGAGGAACAACGCGGGGCCAGGATTTCGAAAACAACACACTCCATTTTATGTTAGGAGGACGGGACGGTTAGTTTGACATCGAATAAGTCAGCCTGCGACTGTCCGTGGAAGCCCTCGGCCCAGAGGGTCCCCTGACACTTGGGCTGGCAGTCTTTTATTGTCCGGGCAAAGCCCCCTTGTTTACCGTACAGTTCGTGTACGTAGTGGGTTGTGTTGGGGGCATGAAAGTGCACCTTGGTGGCCACTGAACGGTGGCGCCACCGGCGTTCCCCCAAAATTCACATTGCTTTCAAAGCCGCGATACGTTCTCAATTATAAACCAACGTCGTTTTCATAACTTTTCACATAATATTTACGCATATTTTAAATACTTCTGGCATATTAATTACAGGATAGCTCGCTACCATATTAGCTGTATCATCAACTATGCGAACAATATTTGGAAATGCCCAAAAAGAAACTAGGGCCAGCGTGTTCCGCTTCACATATCCGAATAGAGCAGTAGACCATACTCACTTGAAATAAGGAATGAATTGAGCTACGTGGTACTTCCCTCCCGCGTCAAACAAGAACTTGGCTTCTGGAATCGAGGGCTTGATACCTTGGTACGTTTGTCTGCAATAGGAGAAAAATCAGTTCGATTTGTTTCACCATATTTTTAAATCACTTGAGCTTGCGGGAGCTGTGTAACTAAGGAATATTCACCGAAGCTCCTTGATTTCTCCACTGCAGAATCTTGCACAACACAACTTTATAGGGGAGCTTCAACTAACTCTAGCTGAAGATTTAATTGTGAAAATAAACCTTCCAAATTTGAAAAGTGAAGATTAGGGAAATGTGGAATTTTGAAAAAAATGCGCAATTATTTCAAACGATGTTCCGAGAATTATTGTTTTCTTCCACCTTTCTATAGGCCATATCCCTATTCGCCCCTTGATGATGTTACAATCAGCATGTTGGTGCAATCGTTTACAATATTGACGCTTATAAGTGCGCCACACTAAGACAATAACAATACCAGTTTTGTTTCGCGTTTGAACGTTCGTATGTTCACAGTGCTAAATTCAAAGACCCCTTTAAAACGTGAATTATGACATTTAACAAAATTATCTGGTGACTGGTGACGGCTGCAACTCTTAGTATTCAAAAGAGTAGCATTTTATTTTTTACACATCCAGATCTCCTTATTGTACTGTTTTACACAATTTTATGAGGTAAAGGGAGTGAGGGTTAAATGAGTGCCATCTTCACCATATATTTATCAGCCTTGGTGCGCATGAGAGGAGGGGATAATGATCATGGCAATTAGGCAAATTAACTAAAATTCGTTAATTAACTTTAAAATATTGACCTTAGGAGTATGTTGCAAGCGCGGTATTGACGGCAATTAATATTAGGGGTTATTAAAATATTTTTGCAAGAATGTAATTGTTTTTTAGATATAAAGTAATAAATTATCAGGTTTTCTTTTCAAAGTAATCCATAAGTCCAGCCCACAATGGCGTTTAAAAGAGTGACGTAGTCGTTTCAATCACATCGTCACTTGAGTTGTCTGCGTACCCACTAAAGACACGCTGCCGACATAGGGACGGCATGCATATAACCAGTACGCCACTGTTCTAAGCGTCCAGATGGGCAGGGTTTGCAACGCGCTTTTTGCGCGCAATATTTAAGTGGGGCTAAAAGACGTGAAAGTTTTCCAGTTAATATGTAAAAAAATCATGATATTTTTGTAAGTTATTTCAATTTCTCTGGCTTCTAGTGTTAATTTTGGTCAATGTTGAATTTGTAACATGGCCCCTAAAACCAATATTAAAAAGTTAATTAAGAGGTTTCGATTAATTACTCAGCTTACCATGAGGATAGTTGCCTCCTCTCATGTCCGCTGAGCCTGATAAATACATGGTAAAGACGGTACTCGTCTGACTCTCATCTTTTATTTGATAAAATATGGTTAAAACAAAAAATCAGACACTCTGTATAATGTAATACACTTTCTATTTAAAAGACAAAATGGTGCCGAGTATCGAGAATATATGAAAAGCGATATTGAGCTGTGTCATCTTCCAGTTATCGCGGTGTCCTCATTATATTACCTTTAGCTGTTTGCTGAGAAATTGGCTAATGCGAATACAGGCCATATATTGGCGGCACCTGTTTAACTGTTTCGGCATAATTTTTTAGTTCTGGCGTTTCTCTCTAATCCTTCACCACATTGCTAAGTATACTGGATTTGATGGATACCTTATTTTGTTTAATATAAACTTCCAGAATGCTAAGTTATGCAAAGTTGGAGATATAGGTTTCGTAAAGGACCAGTATCATGTTGTTTCACTCCAACAGTTTGACACCACTCACAGCGTTGATCGGTATGTTGTCAGAACAAAGGCAATTGACTCGGCGCTTTCTAAATCGATCACTGCTGTTCTTCTGGTTAGAAGCCTTCATCATCAGTAATAACAACTGAAATAAAGCTGCTGCAGTCCACATTGTGGTTCTCCAGTGAATGAACACATCTGATAAACACTCAGTTCACCTTTACAGTCATAGTTTATTCTAAAGAAGAAGTCATGTCCGGGAGAGGAGATGTTGGTGTCTATTAAGCCTGGGGGTATATCAGGAGTGAGAAAAAATAAATGATTTAGCTGCATTTGGAACGTCTTCAACTGTGCTTTTCTTCTACTTCAAAGTTTCTTATATGCCCCTCAGCAATGCCTCGGGTTTTAAATATCATAATGAACTGTCAACCGCTGATCTGCACACTCACTGTTTTTTTCGCAACTACCTTAGCATCAACACACACTGACAATCTTGAGCACCGTGGTATGCACTTACATCCTTGAAACTTGCCGCACTGTGTCGTGATAAATGAGGACCCTTAGCCAGAGCTGTACCATGCTAATTCAGGGAAAGTTTGGCGTAACTTCTTTCTATTATTTCATTTGGGGTTGAAATTGTAAGTTTTTAATGATTGAAAATAACAGTCTTTTTCTCTCACCAGACACAATTTCTTTTTATTACTTGTGTGAAAGAGATAATTTTCGGTATGAGTTTAAATTACTTCCCAATCCAGCCACCACAATATAAACTTAATTTAAACATGTCCATATATGCGTTGCAGAGAGGAAAAATAAACATATTGTATTCTTTGCGAATATAAAGTATTAAACTATTTTTATATTTTACCATACTTCCTGAGACTCAATTGACTAGGTCGGAGGCCCCTAAAACTACCAGTACTAGAAAAACAATGCAATGAAAAGCACACTATTCTAAGCGGGAAATAAATTTTGCACAAACATATTCAACACTCAAAAACAATAAAAAGCGAACACATGTCATTTTAAATAGAACCAGTCTTGCTCAATTAAAGGTTGGCTCGACTTTCTTTTCCCACTTAGCAGGGATGACTCGAATATCTAAAATAAATAGTCAATGTATAAAAATGACAAAAGAAGAATATACTACGAAGAAACCACGGTGAGAAGAAAAATGAGAAAGTGTCAGACTCAATTGTTTGAACGAAACGAACCATTTATGACAATTTAAATATTTCAATGCTCTTAGCTTATTCAAGCGAGTTGTAATTGTGTCACGAATATTGCTCTTTGTTTTTAGATGCGAAGCTTAGTCAAAGTATAATGTCTGTCTCATCTTCCGAGAAAATACACAAAAACGTAGCACGGCCCCACTTTATTATTTAAAGACTGTGTGTGACTGAACAGGCTTTAACCAATTCCGGTATAGTCCCTATGAAGGCAGAGTTCCAATGTTACTCAAATAAAAGTACGAACGTTAAACTTTTATTATAGAGTTCAGGGCACGTACATCTTTTAATTGCATAATAATTTAATTGATACTGACAGCTATGCGTATTAAAAAATAAAGTAAGAAAAAATACAACGAAACAAATGTGTTGTACTTTATATATAGAATGAATAGCGCTCACATTTCCAAAATACAGTTTTTCTCCTGACTAGCGTCCAAATAGAGTAAACCTCCGCTTTGAAAACTGTCCACTAGGTCATTTTAATCTTTTTCTTACCAGTTCGTACTACTACAATGGTTTTGAAGCCATGCTGTTTACATTAAATTTCTTTCTTTGGAATGTCTGGACTTTTCGTGTGTTTTTTTTACCGGTACAGTACTTTCCCCCTACCTAGCCTTGCAAGAAATCATTCACGCAGTGGAGAGCATTACATCCCGTTTAGTACTCAAAAGTCTCACTTGAACAATCAGCAGAGCAAGCGGGGTGGTGGAGGGATTATCTTAAATGACGCCCTACGTACAACTCAGCACTAGAACAGTTCTGTTCTCCCGCTGTTTTCTAATCAGTCTCGTTCGACGAGCATCCAAGACCTTTTTCAACTTTTTTTCCTTCTTACCGGTAGTCCCACAGGGCACCGGCGAGGTTGTCACGAGAAATTCGTCCTTGGAAGACGTCGTATCTCCATGTCTCCACGGAAAGAATCCAGGGCAACGGCACGACCTTAAAAAGGGCTTCTTTGAGGAGTCGAACCACGTCTTCATCCTCGATTTCGAGACCATCTTTAGTCGTTTGCACGGCCGGAAAACGTGCGTCAAACATTCTCCTCCTCCGCCTCTTCTCAGAACCTTCAAGTTATAAAACAAAATAATGAATACGAGAATAGTCAAACGTGCCTGCATCATTAGAATTGCTAAAGACTCGTTCGGTCCCAAAATTAAAAGAACGATAAAAAAAAAAACTTGAAAAATCACAATTTTGTTTTAAAATCGTGCACCTTTTCTATCCTTTAATTCTTCGAAAACGTATGCAGTGATTATATTGTGTAACTCTTTCGTATATAACACGTGTGCGGCGGTCATCCATTAGTGCTCTTTCAAATATCATTGATTACGTATGGCCATGAGACGCTTCAGTAATTATTGTAATAAAATGCTTTACTGGTAGAGTTTGATGTAAGAAGTTAAGGTCACAAAACTTCTAGAGTCGATGCGACTAGAGCGAGAGAGCCCTAATACGTTATTTTTTCCCCAGGTGAGGTTTCGGTCTATTCTAGAAATAGAGAGAATAATATAGCAAGGAGTACCTAATTTTAATGTTATTTGTTTTATGAAATTAGCTATTCTTAAACCCAAGGATTCGGCGAAGCAAGCTCGGAACTATAAATTAACTGTTTTGTTCTAAAATAGTTAGGAATTCATATCTTTATTCTTTAATTGTCTAATTGTAATTTTCTGAAAGTGAGTTACTTTCATGCCAGATGAAAATCGATCAGATATGTTTTTGGACTTAACTGAGCGAATTCGTATGGCAAGTTTTTTTCAATTCTAGTAAAATCACCTTCCCATTACTGGCTTTTGGAACAAACTTAATTCGCCACAAAATGTTTTTTCATAAATAGTATAAAACGTCTTCACATGAATAGTATTTCTCGTCAGCGGTGGGCAACTCGCATAAAGTTAAATTACCTCGAGACAATATCACTTTACTTTTGTCCGAAATACCGCAACTAACTTTTATTATTTTCCTTATTAGTTCATCTTGACGGGAGGAACTAGAAGTAAAAATCATTATCGCGCTCGATGAATTTGATGTGATTCTGGTGAATCTCCCTCGGAAATTGTTTGCTTTGAGAATCTTGCGCTTATTAATACAAGGAATTTGTGTCATTAGAGCTTTTTTTGCCTAAACCACGAAGAAGTAGGTGAGTTTAGGTTTACGATAACTGATGTGAGGACTTTTTGCATAAGCTGACGCGAACTCTGTGGTTTCTATCTAAATTCGCTGGCATGCGGGCACGGAAAAATGCGACGATCTTGATACAGCCAACGTACGACGTATTTTGAGATTACATCGATGTTGTCCTTGTTGCCGAGACGCATCGGTGTGGGCGTGTACGCTGCGTGGGGTGGTAACAAAAAAAAAACTATTCATTTGTTTCCGAACGTCTCGTTTGCATATGCGCGACGGTTTCTTTTTGTTTGTAGATAAATACTCATCGAAACGGGGCAATGAATTCCGACTGAGAGGCAGCATAAACTTTGAGAACGTAAAACTGACAAGTAGGGAAGTGCTTTATCCAAACATTATTTTCTTAATTCTTTGCGACGTGGAATTTCCGTAATTCGCAGGGTTAATAGAATTCGACTAAAGCAACAATAGTCATTGAAATACCAAATAATGTTTAAAAAAACTAATTTGAAGTTTGTGTTTAGAGAGCTTAATGTTTTTGAGGTATGGCGACACTGGTTTACGTTGTAAATGAGGTATTTAGCCCTTGCAGGACGTCTGTTAGCCTAAAGAGTTTAACGAGAATCACACAGTTGTGATACGCGACCGCAAGCCGGTACAATTATCATCCAGATCGACAAGGGCAAAAATGGGGATCGAAGGGAGGATACCTGGGTTTTTGTTCAGATTAGAGCAAAGAAAATGGAAAAATAACGTTGAGATAGGATCGAGCGTTACTTAGAAATGGCGTTTATAACTAAGTGAGAAACAGGCTGAGAAGTAGTCCTGACTGTTAAAGGAGGAAGACACAAGAATAAAAAGACATGAAAAATTGTCAGTGGAAGGGGCCAGTAGATAGAGAGAAAGGAATAACAATGAAAAAGACATAGAAGAAAAAAATGGTCTATGCTTGACGGCTGTTACACATCTACGTCGGCCGCACCCACACTATCCTTCTCTCTACGTTCTTCCTCCCCGATTTTTGCGCTAATTTTAAAAATTAGTATAGCCAACTAGTACACAAGGTTACCTTAATCCCTTGGTTTTCAGGCACGAGTTTTCTTTCACAGCTTGGACTTGCGGTGCGTTAACGCACTAGGCTTTCGAACCCATCAGAGCAGACAAATGAACGTGCTGTGTGTTCAAACATTGATATCAATATTAAGTGATAAGTTTCTCCCAGAATTTGGAACTGTCTTTGTTTTTAAACAATTGATTTGCTTTCTGCCTGCTCTGTGAGAAAACGGAAGCGCACACACACATTTTAGAACGATCAATTATCGGTTACAAGCTAACCACTTAAAACAGCCTTCGATGTGTCTGATTTTTGGTTTTTTCTCCTAGATTTATTCAGTTCACCTGGCACGCTGGCCTTCCCCAGAGAATGATTCTCCACATTTAGGATTAAAGTTACAAAGTGCTTGGTACATTGAGCCGGCAGAGGTGAAAAGACAGCTCTATAGATGTCCTGAACGCAAACTTGATCAACTGCATTTTGAATGCGTATCTTCACAAGATGCATGTGCTAAATTTACCTTTTTTTGATGTTGATGCCGCACAGTGCATTTTTCGTAAGCGCATAGTTAGTAGTTATTTTACCATTCTCTTCATTGCTTTTTACACCCCTCATTTATTATATATTGTGAATTTATTATTTAGTTATTGTATATTGTGAGTTTTGTTTAAGTAATTCTAATGCATGAACTCCAAGTATGCTTAGTGTAGTCATTTCTCGCCAGAACCGGACAATCTATGCAGCATTATAGATAGCGTAAATACAATCCTAGTAAGTAATGATTGTGACGCAAATTGCCAAATAAATTGTTTTAACGAACTAAAAGTGCAGTGCGTGTAGGAGTACGCCGTAGGCACTCGTTTACATCTGTCTATTATTGATATAATATAAACAATAAGCAGCATAGATAGTCCTTAAGGCAAACAAATATTGGCGTCTAAAACGGCAAAGCTGCAAACATTAACGCAGTGGCTGCCCGCTGTGTACGTTTTGTATAAATTATAACCTTGCGAGTCACATGTTTCGACGTGACTAAAGCATTCTCCGATGGCTTCGTGCAGTGCCGAGAGCGGTGCAGCCCTCAACAAAGACGGCTGGTGGCGGTACGCCATGAAGTAATGCACGTGGCCCATTTCATGAATGACCGTCTGCAAGTCCGTGCCGGACCCCTCCAAGCAGACCTTGATTCTGCGCAAAGAAAAAAAAAAGAAAAAGAAGACAAATACAGGTTTAGAAACGGCAAGAAAACCAAGCTCCTAGGCATATATTGCGTAACAGAAACAAATAAAAAAAAAGAAAAAAAAGCAACCAACGCGGTCATTTAAAGTCGCGGAGCATCTTCCTTACTCGTTTTTGCTTTCTGGGTTTACCATGTTCGAGCGGAAAAGTATGCGGCTTATGGAGGTCGCTGTTCAGAGGTCACGACACTCGATGCGGAATGTATGACTTCGAGTGTTATCTTTGCAGGCTCGGTCACGTTTAGGCTTTCGAAGTGGCACGGGACTGATTTCGCAATGGGGCGCGTTCGTTCCTGCCGAAGGTTGGCGGACGAGCGAGGTTAACGATGACTGGCGCCGTCACGTGGGGAAATGTTGATTCTACCCTCAATGGCTTCGAATCGCGATAACGTATATATATGACTCCAGACCATTACGTGCGCGCACCAAGTGTGCGTCCGGATCGGTGGAAATCAGCCTGGCTCTCGCTGAAATTAAGGTTACACGTGATGCGCGCAACATCACTAATTCTCCGGTTTTGGTTTCGAGACCGAAGGAGAGTACTAGCGTCCCCTTCAAACCGAATATGCGATTATTTTTTTGAGGTGTGCTTTTATTACGCACCGATCAGTTTGTATAAGGTTTAAGCGAAAGGGAATACTGGGAGGTTGACTCACGAACATGACATTTGTTAGTCAACCTGCTGATATATGATAATAATAATTAAAAAAAAAAAGATTTTGGACTAGTAAAAAAACAAACAAAAAAAACTAGGCGCAAAAAGATTGATCGAAAACACCATTGTCTTCGCTTAATACAACCTGCATGTCATCCCAACTTAAAAAAAAAACAAAAAAAAAACATTGGTTTTGAATTAGTGAGCCATTGTAACTGATTTTATGTGAGCTCATACTTCCAAGCAATCGCATGTTTACACTGAAAACATCTTTTTACTTCTTTGATTAGGGACCTCAGAAAAAAACCAAAAAACCGCTGTGTTCTCCGAAAGGAGCTCATAAATGACGGCGTGGGGAACACGTTTCATTGAAAATTAAACCTGCGATTTAGCACTTAGTATAGCGTTAAATGTCTAATATGATAAGCTGAGTGTAATGACGAAGACTACAGATCTAGTTTCAAAAGTTTTCTTCTAGATCTCTTTGTTGCTAAAACGTCATATGTGTATTTGAAGTGTAAGTTGCTTCGTATATTAAATTCGTCAATATTTCCAGCTCTTATTTCCTCTCCCTGAAAATTTCTGCCGTGTATTTTATTTGAAATGAAGTTAAAGTATTATAGTCGGACATGTTTTTTTTCTACCTCTTGTCCCCTGAACACTTTTTATGCATCCCGCGCCTACTTAATCAAATTGAGCATATTTTATGTTCCGGCAAATGAAGTATTTCTCTTTGGAGTCTTATGATCACAGATTTATTAATTTTTGTATTTAAACTTAGACACTCGCCATCAACACACGGTCACAAATCTAAGATGCGCCACTCACGCTGTCGTTGCAATAAAGTAAAGATTTACCATACAATGGATTCTAGCAGGTATGTTTGTTCAATTAATTTCAAACGTTAATTAAGCATTATATGTTAAAAGATAGAAATCAGGCAGCATTACGCATTTAACTTATTAAAGTGAAAAAAAAAGCAGTTATATATTTTTTCCTGCTGGTGACTTAATGTAGGCCACTAATATATACGTGGACTTTACTCAGTGGTTTGTAGAATTGGGGAATCAAAATCAAACCTGAAATCTTGCCCATCACCAAAATCGTATGCCGATGCGTGACAGTCCACGTTGGTCGTGTTGGGCGGGCGCTCAAAAACCGACCTCTTCCAGAAGTTGTCGGGCATCGGGGGGAATCCCATTGCTATGTAGTATCTTTCCGCCATTTTTACCACGTCGACAGGTGAGCTTTTCTGATGATATGGGCGCTTAGCTGCGCCCCTCGGAATGATCGTGTCTATAATGCTGAGCCAGTTCTCTCCATAGGCGTTACCTGTACGCGAAGAAAAAAAAGAACAATGGTGGATCGCCCAACTGATTATTATCAATGATAATGTAGTGATTGCGCAGGCGAGCTGGTGGATGTTAACCATTTTGTTCTTAGCCCGAGACTGAGGCAGGAAAAGAGGAAAGTTTCGAAGTAGAAGAAAAATGAACAGTCGAGGACACGTCTCTATAGAGACGTGTCCTCGACTGTTCATTTTTCTTCTACTTCGAAACTTTCCTCTTTTCCTGCCTCAGTCTCGGGCTAAGAACAAAATGATTATTATCGTTTTGTTTTGCGAGTCTTCACAACTTACGCTTTACTAAGAATCATAAAAAAACGTTTTAATGTAATAACTACATGAGAAACACCGCCCCCAACTAACAAAAAGAAATGGGGTCACTGGGTATTCGGTGACTAGGCACAAACAGAATTATTGACGTAACCCGGGTAGTTCATTTTTTTGGCAATATATTTGCTTTCGTCTTGAGATTTCGGGCATTAAAAATCCAGAAGCCAAGGTGCGGCCATACTTGAGCTTCTTTGTCCAGAGTCTGGAACTCTTGCGCCTAAATCGCCAAGCTAGTACCAAAGTTAGGCTTTACTGCCTCGCTGGTTTGTCGTCATCTGGCCTTTATGGGCCTAAATCCCCCAACAAGTGCCAGGATTAGGCTTGAGAATTAGGCTTCTTTGCTCGATACATGGTATTTTTGGCTCGTGTCTGGCATAAAAATTGTATGGCTAACCAAAGAAGAGCCATAACGCCAAAGAAAAGTACTTCATTACTAACTAACACCTTCCAGCAAAATGTTATTCGGGCAAAGTTAGGTCACTAGAATTTCGATACTTCAGCCAAGTTTGGCGTTGCTTTTGGCAAGCTGGCTAGACACAGAAAAGAAAGAAAATATTGGGCTGCCTATATCTTCTGTCAATCTTTTATCGGCACAACTTGTTCTTGAAAAATATTGGTCATGCCGGGCCTTCTCACATGAAACCGATTATTAATTTAATGAACTCCTTTTTTTTTAAAGAAGATCAGAACGCATAATCTTTCAGTCACGCAGGCTCTGTGACCCGGGAGCATGGCAGTACTTCGGTGTCACTTTGTCACGCAGCGTAATTGAATCTTTTTAAATGCAGGGAGCCCAAACGAAAAGGCCACGAAACATGTAGCCATGTGAAATCATTTTCCCGCTAAACTTAGCAAGGAAAATGACGTGACATCACTTCATGTTGAGTGACCTCCACACCAATTCAGTTTCCCCTCTCAATTTAGCGGTAAATGATGTGACATGACCATGCCATGTGACCTAAACACAAATTCAGTTTCCCCACTAGATTTTGAGGGGCGAGTTCCCGTCACGTGAGCTCAACACAAATCCAGCTGTATATGTAAAAAGTAAGGCCCCAACAATAATAATAATATAGATCTTGACGTTTTGGTGGCAGCTCGGTCCCTTCATCAGAAATGTCTGTTTTGCCCTTGTCGTCATCTTTTATAGTGCCCGGTGCTGTCGTCATTTCAAACGGCCGTGGTTTCTTCGTGTTTGTTGGTGATGACATATCACTCGACGCACCCCGCATGACGCTTCGTCAACCCGAGACGACCTCACTTGGAAGTGTCCCAGCTTATCGCTTGGTGTTGTCTTTTGTGTTTAGAATGTGCTAAGACTTTAATAAACGACGTCTTTACCAGATTTTTGTGTTAAGAATAGAGCGGTTGTTGAATGTGATGTTGTGGCATTTCTTCGGAACCCGTTCTGCCAACGCGTTGCCCTGGAAATTATTCTTCTTAACGTCATATTGATGGTGGTGTGTGCCTTCTGGTAAGTTTTTTAAGATTTTTTTAAACTTTTAAACTAAAGATTCCTTCGTAATAGTGACGGGCACATTAAGCCGCGCAATTCGTCGCAATTGCTTCTCGACGAGTAGGCGGCGAAGACCGCTATACCGCGTTCACCCCTGTGTTGAGAGTACGGTTGAAGCTACGTCCTGTTGGACCAATCATACGCCAACCTTACGTCACGTCATCACGCTCCCGCTCATACTCACGCGGAGAGAGCCGGGTCAATTGATAAGTGGGAGGCGGCTGTTTGCTTCGGCGGGCACGTAGCTCTCACAGCAGTCACAGATTAAGGGGTGAACGTAGTATAAATGGCAGCGAACTAGAGACACTGTATACAGAGAGCTTCCAACCGCTCGATCTGCGTCACATTGAGCTACAGGTAACGAATGCGTTGTTCGTCCGTGAGCGTCTCCTCCTTACCGCCTTCTTTTCTCCTACCCACGTGCTAACGCGGCATATGCGCACTTGCGACCAATCTCCGATGCAGGCGTCCGCCATTAAATTGCAAACGCAGCTCATGGTTTGAGTTGGACCATCTCAACAATCTAGGCTCTCTACGAACAGTAGGCGACAAAGGTGACGCCGCCGGCGTAGACCCTTAGTATTCCTGTTGGATAGAGCCTTACTTTTTTACATTTAAATCATTCGTAACCAGACGAATGCCCACCAAGATGTTTACTTTCAATCCAGCTTTTCTTTTGAAGTTAGCTGTTAAAATGACGTGAAATCACTTTAAGGCACGTGACCTTCAAATGAATTCAGCTTCAGCGCTATATTTAGTGGAAAAACTGGCGTCGGTGACACGATGTCATGTGACCTGTACAAAAGTTCAGTTTGCCCCCGCTACATGTAGCGGGAAAATTGACGTCCCATGATCTGAACACTAATCCAGTTTCCGTGCTAAATATAGCGGGGAAAGTGACGTCACATGCCTTCATGTGGCCTGGCCTACGCAGGTGGTCACGTTCGCCGCTAAATTTAGCGGGGAAAATTACGTTACATGATATCAGGTGAGCTATACACAAATTAAGTTTTCCCGCTAGATTTACAATGAAAATTTACGTCACGTGATTTTACCACTAATTTAGATTACCCGCAAAATTTAGAGTGAAAATTGACATATGACGTGTCGCGGCACTTTCAATTATGTCTGCAACCAATCGCTTCATTAGACAGAAACACAGAAGGTTCCGCCTGAACTTTATTAAAAACATATTCTTGCAATATACTATTGATTGTGCATTTTTATTGGAACTTAAGTTAATCATTTATGCATTACACTTAGCACAATGAACAACTGATGCCGCCTTCTCAATAAAGGCGTCAATAAAATAAAATATCATAACCTATTTTAACAAGAAAATATTTGGAGGCTATTTTTTTAGTTGCCGGGCTTGAAGGAAATATAACAATAAAATGAAATCCTATATTAATGGAAAAATGCACTGTTCAAGAATCTGGGCCGTATAAATTGACCCATTGAAATAAATAAAAAAAATATATTTTTGGCATAACAATTTTTTTTATTGTACCACGTAAAAAAGGTTTTGTGGCGCATTTGTATTGCGGAACTATTGCCATTACCAAGCTGCAAGTAAAAATGGCATATTTTTGACGCAGTTCGGAGCTGCTCCTTTTTTGAAACATGATATAGAGGCATTGCCGCAGGTTGTTTCAGGGAATTTCATAAACATACCATGAACGGGTGCTGAGAACGGATGACTTCGCCTAATTTGTTCGCCCACACACACAAAAAAAAAGAACATATATATATATATATTGTGACGAAGAGCAAGAGTCGACGACCGTTTTTATGTCCGCACTGTTTAAGCATTCAGCGCGCCTTTGCCCGCGCATCCAGTTCAAGCGCCCGCGGGCCTCGTCTTCCTCGGCCAACATGCTGAAAGACGATGAAGGGGACATCGTGAAGTATAGACGTCAGAATTACCCCCCCCCCCCCCCCCGGGGGAGGGGGGAAGGGAGAGGTGGTTGGGGGCGGTGTCTGGGTGAAGTAGGACGCAGCGACCGTCTTTATACACAGGAAGGCGGTATGGGTGTTTTGCAGTTGTATGGTGAGGAGCATCTCGGAGATTAGTGCTTGGGAGGGGTTGGCTGGGGCTGAGCGTATTTCTTTAGCCGATTTACATGAATAATGTCGTCGTTTCGGAAGCGGGCATCGGCTGGTGGTGAGAGCGGTTCGACATGGCATGTGACTGGTGTCGTTTGTTTGATGACGCGATATGGCCCGACATACTTGCGTAGGAACTTGTCTGCTAAGCCTTGTCGCTTGATGGGTGTCCACACCATGACGAGGTCTCCTGGTGCGTAAGTAGCGGCTGTATGCCGTAAATCATAGCGAGTTTTTGCGGTATGCTGCTGCTGAGCAGTTCGAAGTTGGGCCAGTTGGCGGCACTCCTCTGCGCGGCATGTGAGAAGGGCGTCCTGATCGCTCGCTGAATAAGGGAAGATAGTGTCCATGTTGCACGATGCTTCTCGTCCTTAGAGAAGGAAGAAGGGAGAAAAACCAGTGGTGTCTTGCTGTCCGGTATTGTATGCGAATGTGACGAAGGGCAATATAGTGTCCCAATTGCTATGATCAGAAGCGATGTACATTGCTATCATATCCGCGAGGGTTCCGCGGGAGGCAACGTTGTTGCGCACTGAATGGAGGCTATATCAAGTGAGTTATGAGGCTCTGCTTCTGCAATTGCCATCCCGGTAGGAAGTAGTAATTGAAGCTTGAACAGTGCGGACATAAAAACGGTCGTCGACTCTTGCTCTTCGTCACACATATATATATATATATATATATATATATATTCTTTTCTTTTCTTCGACGGTTGCTGTGGCAACAGACGCGTCGGCTCCAACGAAACAGGTAAAATGTTTTGTTGGAACCGACTCCACTGTTGCCATAGCAACCCTCGCACTCGGTCGAACTCAACGCAAGTGTGCGAATCTCCGTTTAGCCTCGATACGGCCCCTGAAATAAACGAAAAAAATATATATTTAAGTTCGTGTGTTTTGACTACGGCATTGTTTAACAACTGTGTTTTCCCAAAACAACTGCGTAGCGCACAACACGGCTCACTGCTCACCCAGAAGGTGGACTGGTATGAGGCCTCTCGCCTGCAAACTCTCGTTGCCGTACCTCCGCAGTAAAGCGGCTCTTACAAAGGCGTGCAGATGTGCGTAGAAATCTTTGACCTTGTGCCACAATCTGGCCGCATCTTTGTTGACATCCTCGCCGTCGATCCAGCTTGCTGCGAAGTTGGCGTAGCCTAAAACACAGAATTCAGTGTCACCATTACTCACGTTAACCTCAGCCAAAGGGAAATCTATATACACATCCGCAGTGCCCTTTAATGGTCGTGACGTTACAAACAACGGGCTAGTTCTATCTAGTTACTTATTTTGGTGACGAAGTAACGGCTTGGTTGCTTTTCGAGACATGGAACGACAAACGTACGTTCGTAACATTTATACGGGTTGACGAGTAAATGTGGTCAGTTACTTTTGAAGAGGGTCGTCTACAACACGTTGCTGTCTTTGGTTTTTACCCATAGCTTGCGCCTGTGACTTCCGCGACAAAAAAGCGCCGATAAGAAAACACAAAAAGTGCCCAAAAATGAGTTAAAAAACAAAACAAAAAGAAAAAACGGGCATTGTTAACGTCACAAATATTGGAAGGCGGCTACTTTCAAAAACCGCAGGCCCAAAGTAACGATAAAGTAACTGGTTACTTTTAAACTGATGTAACGAGGAACGTATTTAGTTACTTTGCGAGCGAAAAAGAAATCACAATGTGTAGTTAAAGTTTTTTTATTAGCCCGTAATTGTTTCGTGCCGAGCGAGTCGGCATATGCTCGAACGACGGAGTTCCAGACGGTTATTTAGCTGTGAACTGAATTCGTATAGCTAAGCCAGAGAACGGAATGCAGCGACACTTTGCACGAAAGTGGCTTTAGATTGTGCAATTATTCTATACACAAATTTTATTAGTGTAGTATTTTAATTACAAAATGCAAGAACAGACAAAAATTGGCAGCGACCTGCAGTTTTAAAGTATTATAAGGCATAAAATACATTGTAGGGAATGGGTGACGTAACTGGTGTGTCACACTACGTCTATTTTCCCACTAAATTTAGCGGAGAAACTGAGCAGTTGTATAGTTCACGTGACGTCTATTTTCCCCGCTGAATAAAGCGGGGAAACTGGATTGGTGCCCAGGTCACAAGACGTGAATTTTCTGGCTAAATTTAGCGTTTAAAGGGACACTGACAGGGTATTTACGCTCGCTGAGGTTTTCAGTTGTACGTGACATATGAGAGCCTAACTACTCACAACCAAATTTGCGGCTCCAAATTCGGTTCCTTTCCTCACGAAAACTGCCGATCGATAACTGGCCGGTTTGAGTCGCCTAGCTTACTCTCTTTTCCGTGGTCACGGGCTGTTTTCTAAGGTTTATACACAACCACCAAATTTAATCAGAGTAGTTGATCATGGGAGAGACACACTCGATATTAAAAAATAAAAATATGAAATCCATTTTTTGTGGCTTTTAAAAAGCTGCAAATACGTTGATTGAAAAAAAAAAAAAAAGTTGCTCAGAACCCCGGAAGCATTCTGTGCGTTCAAAGCGTTATTCTCAACATGGCGCGCTTCGCGGTACCGGCGAATTCCGTCTTCCTTGAAAGAGAAATTTTTGGACGACCAAAAGAATTGGTAGTCATCCCGCACGACAGGCCCGACCACCAAGCCGATTTGCACGAAGACGCCGCTGACCCGTCGCTCCCTTCTCGTGGCTGAAGACATCGCTCGCGCAAACATCAAGCACGAAGTGCGTACTTCGAGTTGAATATGCACGCGCGCGATTTCTTTACTAGGTGCGAATGTGGCCAATGCGTGGTGCTGCCCGACTTCGACCCGGGAGTGTTTTTGCTGGAGAAAATAGTCAGCAAACTTTCGAACCTACAGTTGACAGGCTGCATCATTCCTTACAAAAGAGTTTTCCCAGTAGCTCAGTGGATAGAACCTGGCTCTTCCGCTTCACATGCGGAAGAGCCAGGTTCGACCCTGAGTGTACACTCTCAACAAAAGGGTTGTCGTGGGGTACTAGCTTCGGGGTAGTCAGAAGCCGTCACAGATATCGCTACCCCACCTTCGTTATACTGACAACCCCACGGGTAATCACACGGCACGCAATCAACAGGTTGCCAAAGTGAGCACCCCCAAAAGCAACATGGCGGCTGGCAAGCGACAGTGGAGCAGTACGAGTAAGGCCTAGCGAGCTGGACTGCTTTTTGCTAAAATACGATTCTCAATTGCGTGCGCCCGTTCGCGGCCTTCCGTGCGCACTGAAGCACTCCAAAACGCGCCTCGAACCACGGACACCGCACGTATTACGAGTAGAGGCGACGATGTGAAAGGAAGGGGGGGGGGGGGGGGGGGGGGGGGCATTTGAGGGGGTTGTCCGCGACTGCTTTCGCGCGGCCGGCTGCATTTACTTCGTGACCAGAAAACATTCAAGAAAGGAATCGTATAGCGACAAATGGAATGATATCTTTATTGAACAGAGCGTCTCCTTGCTGTGCTTGCCGCAAGTGATCCGGCGGTTTCGGTTGACAGCGGCGAGCCGAAGCATCACCGATTTAAGCGGCGTCGGTTCCGATCGTTCAATGCTCCTGCTCACCTGTTAGCATTCGTTATCCACTCCCTGGTAATCCTCACCGCGTTTGTGCACGCACTTCGCACTATTCACCGCACGGAACACCCATTCAACTGGCTATGAGACTGATCCCACTGGGACGAGAGGCTGAGAACCGAACCCTTTGGGGCTGCCCCGTCAGCTCCGTAGAGCCATGGAACGCCTCCATGTTTTTCACTCAAATAAGTAGACACATAAACGCGCGACTCCTTGAATTGGGCGGCGCCACGCGCCACCTAACGGACAGGGCTCAAACTAGAAAAAAACGAAACCAACAGTCTTTGTGTGCAGCGCTTCGCCAGACATTCACGTATGTAGATATTCTACTACACACTTCACACATACCCGACATACAGACACCATAGCATTCTACAGAGGAACGCGTTCAGACACAGCACAAGGTACTATATGAGACATTGACACTCTACATTCCTATACACACGTCTAGTCGACACCGCCACCTTATATACTGCTGTATTTTCTGTGACCGATTAGGATGGTGACCACTGTCATATTTTGCATAGATACGAAAAGACTGTGCAAGGTTTACGCGTATATATTATTTTCCTCTACTGCCCTTAGGAAAGCGCTCGTATCTCTAATGTAATCCATTGCAAAAGTGAACTGCAGGTTATGAATAAATTTGAATAGTTGCTACACGTCACGTTTTGATAAGTTTCGTTTTCTCGCTAGCCTACACTTTAAGTGTACAGAAGCCTGTTTAATTAATTGTATTAATTATTGAAAGCAATTTCTGCAATCACAACTTTCTGAACACGCTGATGCATTTTCTTTTCTCTTTTTACATATCCGAATGACTTCAGCGGCGGTTGAGTAAATGTTGAGTACACTGAGCGCGCGCAGGTGATTCTAGCGAAGCCCGTCCTCCGGTCCTCCCCGAAGCGTTGTTTCAGTTTTCTTCTTTTCGCTACAATTGTTTCTGCTCAAGCGTGTGTCTTTCAAATATGCGTTCTATGCGCTCGCGCTCGCGCCAAGAGGACAGTGCAGAATTGCCGCTTTCGGGCCCGTGCCTTCGCCTGCAACGAACGCGAAATACGTATGCTAAATTATGTAAAGCCTGGTTCAGACAGTGGCGTTTGACTGCGTCTGACTGCGTTGTGGCAGCGAGAAACCAGGGCATCCCTGCTGCTTACATCGCGTGCGAAGATGATTCCTTGAATTGGATTCCACGCTTCATACGAAGCACAGTCGTGCCGGTGAGTCGCTTTCGGTTCTCGACGCAAAGCTGTCAAACTCATTCAAACGCAAGTGTCTGAACCGGCCTTACCGCTCATTCACACTGGAAGCGGATCCGCGTTTGCAAAGCGGTTGCGAACGCGGTTGTATAAATATCCAGTACGATTGCACGCGCACTCCATGACATCAAGTGCGCGTGCAATTGGACTGGGTCTTTAACAACCGCGCTCACAACCGCTTTGCGAATGCGGATCCGCTTCCAGTGTGAATGAGCTGTTGAGCATCAAAGAACGCCGAGAACATAGTTCTCTGCGCTGCACCTGCTGTCGTCTCCAGCAATACTTTTTCTAAAAAAAAAAAAAGAAATCTAAAACAAATAGCACGTATATGTTTGTCAATGCCTTATTTTTGGAAATTTACTTAGAATCTTTTATATAGATAAAAGGAACGCGTGCTGGAAGGCCTGAAATCCTAGTCCCTTTCGAAGTACTCCGCCTTGGATGACACATACTTGTTTGAGCTTTTTTTTTTTTATCGAGAATGCTCGATGAAATTATGTATCCCGAGACATGCGAATCATGTATCCCGAGACAGAGAAATAGTGAAATACACGAACATGATCGCAGATATCTGTGTAGGTTCGTCCCGTCCGGCCTGAGTCGTGGTGTGCAATGCTTCATACTTCACTGCACTTGCAAGCAAAAAAATTGGGTACGACAGGAGCGCAAGTTCGGCGGAACGGGCGGAACGGAGGAGGCCACTTGCAACTGAACTGCACGCAGAACTGACCGATCACACCTTTATTAAGAGCACGCTCTTTACTGAACCGCACAATAAAAGACGACAAGAGTATCTCGTCCGACGAACATTCAAGTCAACTCACGCCTGTGCGTAGCTTTCTGTGCTTTTCTAGAGATTTGGTTCAATTCCTCGAGCACGACGCCAGCTGCCAGCTGTTGTTTACTGTTGTACATCGTAAAACCCGCGGCGGAACCAAAAAGGACAACCGCGATACTTTTTATCTGCCTCGGGTTTTAGTAGGTGCGTACCAATGTTGCCTGTACTTGTTTGTTTTCTGCCAGTTTAGGCGAAATGAGCCACACGCTTGTTTCGAGCGGTTTAAATTTAAATAAATAATAACCAACGCACAAAGAAAACAAGTTTTAAGCACTTTTTGAGATTTTTGAAATGACTTTTACTATTAAACGACTGCATGCACTTGAATGTTCAATTCAAGAGTTTATAAAACGTGACTACCCCATGCTTGTCACCTTCCAACAGGGTGCTAACTCTCAATGGCTCGAGCCCAGTGGGTCGTTAGGTAAGCCTGTGGGGTAGTTAGAGCCGTCAAAACGCACGATGACTAGGGGGGTGCT